AGCTGATTACTCTTCAAATTTCTTCTCAGCACTTCCTCCCTTTATATGAGACCTAATGGTACTAATTCTATGTTGTTTCCTTATGTGTTTTATTTAAAATATCTCAACCTAGTAACTAGCCCTCAATGTAAAAGGGTAGGAAAGCAAAGTGTGTTTTTTCCATTTTTATAGTGCTTGCTGTGACCACCAAGGTGGTTTTCCTACTGGCAGGGCAAAACCACGAATGTGGCAGGGGGTATTACCCTGACTGAGGTAATGCATAGTTAGTCTCCCAATTTGACTTCCAGTGGGAAGATCTTGGCTATACACTGACTATGGAAATGGGAGACTCCTCCCTAGCTTGCTCCTGTGGCCATATGGCTGAGGGCAAGCGAAACTTGGGGGGCATCCAAGCCCCAAGTCTCTGGTCTTGGTCCCGCATGTAGGATGCCCACCAAAGGATATGGAAGTATCTGAAGCCCCAGGCCGGGGTGGAGGATGCTTGCTGGTAGCAGGGCTGCATATGGTTCTTGAATGACTCACACAGATTTGGAATTGATTTGGCTGATTTGACTTGGGACACGAAAAATTTTCCCTTAAAAAAAAAAAAAATCTTACTTCAAATTACAAAGTCTTTAAGGCAGAGAACTCTCTGTAAAGTGCCATGCACACCTATGACACTATTTCAGAGCTGCCTAATAAAGGTAGTAATAAAGTTGTCACCTTTATATATTTTCTAATTTTGTATCATTTCAATATATAATCTATAAATCCTGGTGTAAGTCAGTTCATTTTTTGTTGATGTCAGCGGCTTCCCACTGCTTAACCTGGTCTGTATCAGCACATTGTTTAACATTTTAAGACAGTTGTTGAAAGAATACAGACATGACCCCAGGACTAGCCCTCAAAAGACTAGAGATATGATGATGACCTGATGTATTAAAATCTTACAGCTGAAAAGAAATATTGTATCCTGCTTCTTCCTTTGTGGGTCCATTTGCAACCAAATGTAGGGGGGCCAAGACATGACTATCAGTAAGTGCAGGATGTTGTGCTAGAGGTTCTGATAGCTTGCTCTGTAGGACTTGTATGTACAATCTACTTGGCATGGAGGAATGTGAATAATTCACTAAACCTGAAGTCTGACACGAGGAATTCCCTTGAATCCCCCAACCTCAATCCCAGTGATTAGTCCAGTGCCCCTTTTTGTCCTGTTGTTTGTATGCTTGCTTTCCTACATTTTTCTCTTTCCTATGTGTGATTGATTTTCAACATTGCTGTGACTGGCATTTCCTAGAAAATTGATGTCAGGTGCAGTCATTAATCACATTGCAAAATTGTTTTACAACATTCCTTTCAACTTTTAATTATTAGTACTTTAAAATCAAATAGCTGCGGTATTAGTAATGTATTTGTCGGTTTTGCTGAAAACATTTTTAAAGAGCAAATATATTACTCAATACTGTAATGAGTAAAGCATAAACTCACTCAGAATATTAAGTACTGTACCTTTACAAATCAAGAACAATTAAATTGATGTTTAGTCAAGCTGTGAATGAATTTTTTAAGTGCCTTTCTCTCAAAACAGTGTGAGGTACCAGTTCTGCCTGACTAGAATAAAGATCTCATTTTCCTTATTGTACTTTTGTAATAAAAAAATCAATTATATATTAATATAAGATCAATAGACTAGGTAATTCCAAAATATTTGTATTATCATAACTAATTTCTTTTAGGAAATGAATATATTTTCCTTTTTGATAAAAGATCACATGGCAGTTTTAAAAGCTACTGTTTGTTTTAAATTCATGTAAAATACTCCACTGTTATAAATGAATTGGACAAAAATATAATTCTGTTTTCCATATGCACTTTCTACAGAAAATATTTCTTCTGATTACTTTTTCTTTTAAATCCAGGCCTAGTGGGTGGTAGAGCTAGGTGGGAGTAGATCTGATCCCTGGAGATCACATTGCATATTTTGCATCTGTTTCCATATCACACAGACAGAAACAGGACACCAGCGTAGCGATAATTGCAACCCTGACACAGTCTTCTTTTCTATAGGTAGTTATTATATGGTTCGTACACTGTTGCTTATGCAAAAACTAGGAGACTGAGAAAGGTCAGTAGGATATCTGTACTTGCTGAACCCCTGTAGATGGGGTCTCCTGGGCCTCTGGATAAAGCTCTAGGACGTTCTGGGATATCGGATAAAGCTCCATTTACAGAACTCGCTTGAAAAATTGAGGTGTCACTCAATGTATATTGTGATTGTCTGTCTCTTCCTTTTGAGAGAGATAGTTAGATGTGTTAGAAGTTAGGCAGAAGGCTGGCAGGGTGACACCTTTGAAACTGACTCATTCAGAGCAGCATGAGCTTTCATAGGCTACAGCCTTCTTTGTCAGATAGCTGTAGTCAACAAGGGTGCCTATACCTGTGCTCGGGGGTGGGAGGCGGCATTTTTAATTAACGCAGTTCCCGGAGAACAGTTCTAAGTAAAACACTGCAGCACCATGGGTATTAAGCATCCACAATTGCAAAAGTGGCCATGGAGTGCTTTAACTAAAGTTCATTCAACGAGCTTTTGTTAAAGCGCTCCGGCAGCCATTTTTAAACCCACAGGAGCTTACGCACATGATACTGTGGTGATGCTAGAACGTTCTAATTAAAGAAATTAGAACTGCAAAAGCAGACTGTTAATCGAGTCTGCTCCGACACGTTCTAATTAGAACGTGTTGGAGCATGTGTTTAGGTACCCCGAAAGCTCATGCCTGTCTGAATGAGTTAGTCTATAAGGTGTCACTCTGTCTGCCTTTTTTCTTTTCTTTTGAGTTTTGATAGCAGGGAAATTGTTAACATTTGATTGTCATTGCCAAGCTTCATATGCAATTCTGTAGAACTGGTGTATTTCACACCTGATGATAGAACAAATATGATTACAGTTTAAAGAGCCTGAACAAAATCTATACTATTTGCCACTGAAAATAGATCTTAAGTGAAACTTTATAGGTGTAAATGCTTCATGTTCGCAGTCTGCAAGGGGTAAATATTGCTCTTAAAATTGTTTGAGGTTCTCTGCAAACTCAGGCAGATGTCATTCTGTTGATTTACATCTCGCTAATATTTTGAAATCTTTCTTTTTGGACATCCCTACTTACACAGGCTCCCGAGTATTTCCTTCATGAGGTGTACAAAGAGTTTTCCAGGTATCTGGGAAATCTGTTATGGACCTTAAACAAAGGAAGTAGTGTGGATCTGTTGTTTCTGAATGTCCATTCTATCTTCCAAAGTCCAGTTTCTTTCTTTGACTATCAGTGTTTCCTCTTTCGTAATAGGCCATAACCAAGTTTTTAAACTTACTCCTCTTGGTGTAGATTAAAACCTGTGATGGGCTTTCAGAATTAAATGTATTGTCTTGGTTCTGTTTTGGTTTAAACTATAAAATCCCTTGAACCAGGCTGGAAACAAAATGTAGGGTCTCCCTTTGGCTCAGTGATACCTCAAAGAGTTTAAACAAAACAAAATCTTTCTAACTTTTCTCTCCAAAGCTGTTTCTTGAAGAGACTTCTTAGAAAGAAGGAAAGCATGACCTTATTGAAGTCAGTGATAGTTTTGTTATTGACAATCCAGAGGCCCAACATTTCTCCTAAAGTCTTTTCAACTGAACAGACCCCCAAACTCTCAAGTTTCCTCTTCTCCCTGTGGCAATTTAGCTACCTAGTCATTCTTAGTAGCTCTAAGATGCAAGCCAGCAGTCTACACTAAGATGCTTGTTTAGTGTACACTAAGCAGCCTAAATCTGGGGTGGACCCTGCATGTGCAAGCATTTGCTGCTTGTAGGGAGCAGGCATAGCCAGTCGAGTAAGTGGCAGGCAGGAGGGGTTGCTGGTGGGGGTTAGTAGGTCCATGGTGGAGCTACCCAGTCTGGGGGAGGTGGAAATTGCCCAGTCAGGTTCAGGGGGGTTAAAACAGCACAGCCCTGGGACTATGATGAGTAGCTGTGCTCTTCTAGCCCTGGGGCTGTGCTGTGAACATGTTCAGGTGTTCACTAAACTGGGTTAACCCCTGCTAGATTGGGTTAACTTCAGGCTGATATAAAATTTGCTTACCTTTGTGGTGAACTAACTTTAGATTATGCATACCATTGTTAGGGCAATGTGAGAAAGTCCCCAAGTTAAGACCTGAGAATCAGACAATTTAAAAATTAGTTTGAACAGTGTGGACCATAGTTTTAGCAAGAAATGTTTAAAAAAATAAACATTGGGAACACATGGAAAACAAATACTGAAAAAAGCAGGGAGAGGGAAAATAATAGTCAAGGGAAAAGGAAATAAGAGCAATAGGGGGAAATAGGAAGGAGCAATAAAAGCAAAAATGATGGAGTACCTGTTTATCTTGGGGGGGAAATTGATACAAAACTATTGTATCAAAACAGCAATAAATATAAAAATAGACTTTGCAAATAGGAAAGTGAAAGTTTTGATTAGAATAAAATATTTTATATAAGTAATTATATTGATTATATTCATTTTAATGTGTTTATATCTGTTCTTTATATGTGTCTAGTGGGAACTATGGAAGTGTGTTTGAAGTCTTTCATTGGTATATGTAGGCCTTAGTAAATCCAAATGTAAGCCGTGTTTGGCTGGATACTGCTTGAATAATAGGGGGGTTCTGTAAGGGCACCTAATCTTTTTTTGAAGCAGAAATTTTTGGGCTTCAGAATTTTTCTTGTGTTCACTGGTAAATTTCATAAAATGGTATTGGTAATAATGTTAGTTGTTTTTACAGTTACAAAGACCTAAAATAAATTGTCAGTTACTACCTCTTCAACCAGCAGGTTAAAAATCATTAGATGTGGCTAAATAAGTTGAAACAATAGGCAATCAACACCTGCATTAATTGTGAGCATGGTAGAAAGGTACTTCTTATTAATATTTCTAATAGTTACTGTTTAAGTCCTTGAAGTTGCAGGCTGATCATTCTTCCAGAAGTTTTAAAAATTATGCTTTCCGCAGGTAACTTAACCTCATTGAAAGCCTTGAATCTAAGGCATTGTCCCCTGGAGTTTCCACCTAAAGATATTGTACAGAAGGGACTCCAGTCCATTCTGCGCTTTCTCCGAAACGCTGGGAATGGAAAAGCAGAATCAGTTACTCTAGGTATGTATGATAATTGCTTATCTACATTACTTTAACATGTAATTAACTTATTTGAAAAATGTGCTGGAGTTATTCATTCCCTCTGTAGCTTTGTGTGCAAGCTGTGCAATCAACTTTTGTATCAAGAAAAAATTAGACATCAAGTCCTGAAATATAAACACAAAAGGAAATTAATTTTTATTTTCTTTTTTAAAAGATATGCTTTATAGTCTTGAAGGGGGGAATGTGAATTTTATGTGTTAAGAGATAAAGAGAGATTTGGGGCACATTTGCTATGACTGGAGCAAGAGAAAAGGATGATGTCCTAGCTGAGGCAATTCTGATAGACTCTAGGGGAGACCTGGTTAGGTGTATTAGTCAAGATGAAAAATTACTGCATACTGGAGTTTGGTAAAGGGAACAAGAAGGAAAGGATAGTTTGTGGGGATATTTAAAAGGAAGCAATAATGGGCCTTTATAAGAAACTGGATGTAGGGAAGGAAGATTACACTGAGATTGTGAGCCCGAGAGAAGGAAACGATAGTAGATGCAATAGAGATAAGAGGGGCAAAGGAAAGGAAACAGATTCAGTAAGAAAAAAGAATCAGACTAATGCTTTGTGGTTCTGTCTCTGACAGTGACCACTACCAGATGCTTTGAAAAGATCCAAGGAAACCTGTAATGGACAGTTATGGAATAACTTATGCATAGGATAAATTTCTCTAACCTTCCACAATCAGCAGTTAGCTAATGTCCTGATGCATAGGGGACTATGCTCCTTAAAAATACGTATATATTATTTAAGGGAAGAGATGGAATGCAATGGTGAACACGTGAGAGATTGTTTTATCTTTTACTAATTAATTTTAATATTTTATCTGTTTTCAATGATGCGTCTTGGTTTTATTGCAAGCGTTCCTGAGCTTTTTCTGGGGAGGTAGCAAAGAAATCAAATAAATATAGGGAGGGATTTAAGATTGAGAGAGAAGTCTGGGAATCAATCATATAGGAGTGATACGTGAAATTGTAAAAACAAAATTCATCAAAAATGAAAGAGAGTAAAAGATAAGAGCCACTGAAGGAAAAAATGCCATGTGGGTTCAGTGATCACAAAGAGCCAGGATTTTCTTGTACATCTACGTATAAAAGACACATGCTCTAGCAATAACATGCCCTTGCACTAAATGCAAAGTAAAGTATCAGTAATGAAGTATTACTACAACTACCTGCATTTATTGTGCCTAAACCCGCTAGAATGGTCAGAAAAAGGAAATCTGGAATATAGAACCACAGATAATCTAAATCTGTTTGCGAATGAGCATAAGTAATTTAATGTACAAAAAACTAGAATTCTTGGTTCCAAAATGTTACCTTTTATTAGACAAACTGGAAAATGGCAAGAAAATTGTCCTTTTCTGCAAGCTTTCTGGATTAAAGTCCCTTTATCAGATTCTGGGAAAAGTGTAGATGGTACAAGATGGTAAAAAATCCCCCTAGGTAGGAAATAAATTTCATTTTTGCACCAAGGGAGCTGAAGATGGAAGGCAGTCCCTCTGGGTCCGTGACAGTATATAATATAAGCTTATATAAACTTCCTATATAAATACAATAGCTGAAGAAATTTTTTAGGATAATTATTTTGCTACATTAAAAAGCCAAAACAGATTAGTGTGCTTTCAAAAATGGATGGGGTTCTCAGATATTGTACTGTGCAAAGAACACAGATGGTTATTTTGCTTTGTGAGCCATAGTCCAAATATTGTTGCACTTACTACTATGGAATAATAACAAAAATAAGCCCAAGATTACAATTTTAATTTTAATCAGCAGTTAATACAGTTATTTAAAAGTAGTAATCATAACTTGAGCTAAATCCTATTTCATTTTACATGCCTAAATGACATGTATGCAGCTTTGTAGTGCCTGGCACTTATGCACAGTTGGGGTTCTATTTTGCCCTGCATGAAATTAAGCAGGAAGAAGAGAGCCCTCCAGTGTTTTAATCAAATAGCTAGTTGTTAGGGCATTTGTTTATGGAGTAGGAGATCTTGGATCTAGGCTCCCCTTGCCTAGAGGAGGTTTGAATCTGTACATCCCATTTCCCAGCAGAGTACTCTAACTGCCAGGCCACACAGTAGGCATTGCCCAGGCTCCTCTCTGGCACTCCTTCTGAATCTGACTTGTTGCATTATTTAATATTCAGTGGATACAGTGGATAACAACAGTGGTGAAGTTTGTGCCCCACTGAAATCAGGGACCCAACCTAGCATTCAGGGTTCCATTCATCTCACCATGCCACACACTCTCTACCTTTTGGTCCTCCTCTTTTCGCCACAGATTTCCCTCTCCTGACAGCCTAGTTGACCAGCTTCAAGATTGAGAGAGAGTCTTGAGAAATGGCTAACCCACTACTTGATGATTAATATACTTTGCCAGGAAGTACAAAATTCAGGTTCAAGTCCCTTCTGGGTGAAGGGGGACTATGCACTGCATGCCCTAACCATTGAGCCAGGGCTGCCCAATTTCAAAGCATCTGGGGACTGCACATTGCATGAGTTG